AATTTATAACTTGCGTTGGGCAAGGCCGTGGTCTAGGCAATGGCAAACCACTTCTGGATAATCTGCCAAGATCGTATATGAACAGTTCCCAGTCCGAGAAAAGGATGGAAGGCTCCTGTTCATATGGACCTGTCGTCAGACAGAACACTAAATAATAATAAGATGAGGTGGTGTAGCGGTTAGAACGCTGGCCTTGTAATCCTGGGGTCTCGGGTTCGATTCCCGGCGGTGCTCGAATTTATAACTTGTGTTGGGCAAGGCCGTGGTCTAGGCAACCCGGAGTTTTCCTCCGGGGGCTTCTTCCCCGGTTTCTCCGTGGCATCCCATTCACACACAGAAGAAGGGAATGGCAAACCACTTCTGGATCATCTGCCAAGAACGTATATGAACAGGTCCCAGTCCGAGAAAAGGATGGAAGGATCCTGTTCATATGGACCTGTCGTCAGACAGAACACTAAATAATAAAATATGCTATTGTAATTTCTCTTTTCTGATTAAGTATTGTTAAAGATAATTAAAATTAGTTTTCAAAATAACTGGACAGGAGGGCTTTTTTTGGGGCAAAACTACCCTTGCCCCGTAGGAAGAAACAGGTTGAGCCAGGTAATGACAGTGTTTTGTTTCTTGCAGAAGATGGATCAAAACAGAGATGGCATTGTGACGCTGGAGGAATTCCTGGATTGTTGCATGAGCGATGAAGACATCGCTCAATCAATGGCAGTCTTCGACTCAGCCTTCTGACATACGCCTGTTCGCGGCAACCCACCGCCATCTTGGTAGTAAGGAAATTAACAGAGCCGTCCAAGTACGCGAGGGATGTCAATAGAGCGCGACACTTGGTGACGGAAGTCTACAGGCTGGCTCAAAGAGTTGCTCAATGGTCTACACTCAATTTCACCAAAAATTTCGTGATCTCTCACTCACGCAAGAGTTTCATCACGCCTTTCCGCGGTGTTAATTCAAAGACGCAGAATAAGTCTCTTTCCAGTGGTATCTGCGCTGCAATTGAGAACGTGCAATCATGGAAGACGTATTTGACGTCATGTAGCCCTCGTTTGACAAGGAATAAATATAGAAATATATCGTGAACTGCCCCACTTACATGTAAATTGTATTATTTCAATGTTGAAATTATGTATGCACGTGTGTATGTGTGTGGTGAGTTAAATATTTACTTTAAAATTTATTACAATTTCTGTCAGAATGTCATTGATGTTATCAGTTTATTGTCTTAAACTCCTATTCTCTATCCTTGGCCATTCGTGTTTAATTTGTGGTTGAAGTGGTTGACGTTTATAAGATTCGAGCTTCTTGCTGTGCTGAAGATGGCTTTGGTATTCTGGGTTGTGACGTCATCATGTGGACACGTAGATGAATGCCAACTTTTCGAAGGAATACATTGCTTTAAATTTCAGGACGAAAATCCACCATGATTGTATTGCAACCAAAGAATCTTGAGGTGGGAGTGACATTAGTGCTATTTAATGTAGGGTTATGGCATGAAAATTTATCTGAGAAATATTCTCAGCGAAATTTTAGGCATCGTCTTTGTTTCCGATCACGTGTCGCCACAAAATTTATAGCAGTTAAGAACCGCACTAATGTTTAACTTTCACCAAGACGAAATTGACACAAAGATTATGTAATCTCTTTATATAGGAAAATGGAGTGGCACAGTTGTTAAATAATTTCTTGAGAATCGATTAAAAAAAAAACATTGAAGTTTTGCGTTTGATATTAAACATTTAATGGTAAGGACTGTACCATTGTGATATGTATTTAATTTTCTTTGTAAACTTTGCAGAAATCTAAAGTTTTATTGAACATGGTAGAAATTAAAATTATCGCTTTCGCTTGATTAAGACTTCCAAGTATTTGCGACCTCTAAACTAAATGAAGCGAATGAAGTTTAACACGAATTTAAGGAATTACATGAGTATGTTCCTGTCCAATTTTGCACTATTTACCTACAGAATTTCAAACATTGACATTATGGATGTAAGAATCAATAAATGAGGAAGATTCCTATGACTTGGAAAATGCAGCAAGTTTTTCTAACTAACCCAAATCATTCACAGAAAAACAGTAAAATAAATTCGAAGGTGGTCGCTCTCTTACGCTGTCTTAAAGGCTTTGATTGTCTGCGTATTGTAACAGGACAATCAGAGAACATTTTCCATCATAAAAACTTGCATGTACCAATTCAATTTAACCCCCTCCCCTCCCTACAGCTATATGGTAGTCCTGGGAAAAAATGTGCTAGTAATAATTATTATCCCCAGTGTTCATATCCAAACTTTTACGTAGTAATTATATTGATATGTGTTACTTGCATTTGAAATCATATGAGTTTTAATATACCAACAAGGACATGTGAAAATTAGAATTTCTTCGCCTTATATTTTATGTTTATTCCATTTAGAATATTTTCTATGTATCAGCAGCTAATAACTATTGACCAGTTCCATTTGTTGTTAATAATGAGCAATAACACTAATAATTTTACGTAAGATCTATATATGCTGTTCACGACTGTAATATTGAGACTTGTATGGTGAGGAAGTGGGATGAAGGAGGATAGATAGTGTCTGCTACGCAGCAGCCTTTAATGCTTCAGACTTCCTGCATTCCTTGGAAGTCTCAAGATTACAGTCACGAACTGTACTTGTATTTTAAAAAGTACCTGGGGAAATATCTTGCCAATTACAGAATTTGACAAAAAGTTTAAAACAATTAAGAAATGATTAAGTACATACTTTGTGTCAGATACTTTTTGCCTTTTAAGGTATATGTCAGAATTCAGAAAAAGATTGACATCATCAGATTCTTAACATCCTCATTTGTATCTTTACAGTCTATCTGTAGTAACTTCAAGAGTGTCACTAGTAATAGTATTTGCATATGGTCCACACAGTTTACAACGAATGGGACACATTCTATTATTACATAACATTTATACATAAATTTAAATGAGAATAAGAGATTTAAAAACCTCCATACTATGGGGCTGCTGGCGAGACTCCAACTGCAGGATTAATGGTGTAGGCATCATTAAGCACCAGGTACAACTTTACCTCAGCTGCTCCAGTGGTCAACCAGCTGGACCACATGTAAATCATGGCTGATAAAGATTAAAGTAATGCTAAAGTTGAAAGTAAATTTCAAGGTCAATGTATAGTATGTGTGAGAGATATTTTATATCTAATAGCTGAAGATGTCTAGATGCTGGCTTCTTAACGCAGACTTAATATGAGATTCATGGTGGAGGAAGTGGCACTCATGTAGGATTTTTTCCAAGTTATTTTCAGGTTTGTTGTGCTAATTATCATTTTATCATTGTCCCAAACTCATTACTGCTTCGAGAGGTGTAAAGTAGCCCTGGCCAAGCATCAAATTATCATAAACTTGGTGCTAAGTTAGGAGCTTAATCTGACCAGGCACGTGGACTGTCACTTTCTCAAACGGGTAGGAGAAGATTTCGAAATGTTGCCGACTACATATTTTTGCACCAAAGTGGTGTTGCAGGTAACTGCATAAATGTTAAAAGCATTTCATTTTCTGTTTCAGGTTATGTATGAAGTAGATTTGGAATTGAACGAAAGCAAACGATTATAATGTTGTAGAACGCGCTCTGCATCGTTAAGATCGTCTTGTAGGATGTATGAGGGAACGACCATCTTTAGAAGGCCATGGAGTTACCCCACGCTACAGGAAGTCGATCACTAACGCAAATGCTGTTTCTGCCATGTCTGAAGGTAATACGTAGAAATGGATCGATGGAAATATACGTTTTCTTGAAGCTTACAGTGTTTTAATATCGTTGGGGAATGGCTACAACAACAAATTTTAGTGCAATGAATGGTTCGCTGAATATGGTAAGTAAATAATAAGTTTATAGATAGTAATTTTTTATTGCAAACTGTTCAGTAAGTGTCGTGTACGGCATCGTAACATTTTTCAAGATGGGGGAATGTATTGTGAGGTGGGTAGGACGCGATCTTTTGTGAACTTATCAGAAATTGAAGAAAACGTGAGAAATTTCAGATTTTTCTTTCGAATTACAGGGTTAACGTAAATCCAGAGATACACACGACGATTTTGTTACTGACTTCTATGTAATATCACTTGTGTATATCGTATTGGATTTTAAGCGCGTCACGAAGGATTTCTTTTTGTTGCAGTGAAAAGTATATCATGCTTGAAACACGTCAGACAGCACAACATTTGTGCTATGAGTAGGACGTTTATAAATTATTTTCGTTATTTAATGCCACCAACATTTGTTTATAGGCGTGTTTAGATTTGTTTTATAATTCCAGTTTCTTGAATGACACAGTATGCCATGTAACATCTTTTTATGAGGTCTCAAAGTTATGGTTACTGGTGTCTGAAAGTAGCTCATCTATAGTCATTGAACTTGGACTGCCTAAAATAATCTGCTGCTTTTGTACCATTATTGCCCCATTTAATCTGCTATGAAGTTGCCCCCAGCACAAACCATGATGGTGCTCATTTCTGCTGCCTAAGTCATTCAAAGAATTCATACAGGTCTGAGGCCCTGTGTAACAGTTTGTTACATGCTAGATTTTTAACAGCGCCAGGTTATTAGTCTGCTGCCCAGCCTCCAAACTGGAGGACCACACCCTGTCATATGTCCTCCACTGCTTATTCATTAACCTTTAGGATGACAGTGAATGAGTAAATTTGGTTATGAATCAATATCTTGGTAGTGTTCTATATAAAATTTTGTTTTTGCTGATGCCTGTTGATTTTTTTTTTGTTCCTTCAGTCTACTCCGCCACCCCCACTTCCACCACCACCACCGCCACCCCCACCTGGCGAGTGTGAACCCCAACTCAAGAAGCTGAAGGTGGAAGGTAAGTTAAGGATGTGTAATAATTCTTTGTATAATACCATCTTATTTAACTGTAGGCTTGTTTATATTTATGAAGGACAACTTTGTTAATGTTGCTTCATACGTCTGTTAGAACACTGTATTGTTATAACATTGAGTACATAGCTGTAAATGTTACATAGAAATAAGCGTCATTAACTTTGATTTGTTTTATATTAAAATTGAGGGGGGCAATAAAAGAGAATGGTATACTAATCTCCATTATCTCTCTCTGTTTCTGAGTTGTTACAGGATTACTGTGAAGCCAAAAGCAAGTGATCCACTATGTATACTACCAATGGAGAAATGTGACTTCATCTTTTGTGTTGTACACTGGGAGGGTTGGGAATGGGGAAGAGGCAAGGATATCTGTCTTACCGTACTTACTCGAAACCATCTTCCTTCTTTGCCTTCCCTTGCAGAGAAATCTCACCAACGAAATATACTAGAATATGTTTTTTACGTTGTAGTGATGTAATTGAAGGAAGATTAGTCCTTCTGTTTAAAGTCTCTTGATTTGTAGTAGAGGATTTTTCTGTCCAGCAACCAATTCTGTGTGCTTTGCTCTGTGCATTTACAAATTATGTATATTATTTGTTTGAAACGTAAGCAGGAAATGTTTCTAGTTAAATTAGTACTTTGATACGTAGTATGTCTCGCTCACGTGCAAATAAAGTTAATCCCTTTCACTGTTTGTAACCTAAAATGATATAAATTAACGGAATGCATTGTAACTGCATTTTTTTTAAAGTTTTGGTGGAATGCTTATTAATTTTTGCTTTGTGTATTTGGGAGGGATACACGTGTTTATGGCCATGTGTGCATGTACATGCTGCTCTTGTTCCTGTAGATTTCTATAGCTCTTTCGATGCCTTTTCTTTGAGTCAATCCTAAACTTTTCTGCAGATTGTGTCTACAATTTCTTGTTTATTTTTGAGTGGTTTATCTTCTTAAGAAAACTTGACCATTGATTTAAATTTCATAAAGTTTGGGGCACTTGCTTTCTGGAATGTAACTCAACAGGAACATTATTATTTTGCAAAAATTAAGGTTATGTGGCATGATACCATATTTTCATACGCATGTTACGCCACACATTTACAGTGTTGGATTAATTGATTAGTTTATTATAAGAATGTTGAAATGAGTATCTGAAGATACATAAGGATCCTGGGGCGTTCCTCTTTCTCAAGCATAAATCCTGCACGTCTAAACTCTGACCTGCTTGACGGGATATGCAAGTGCTAATGAAAGGGAATGAAGTTTCAGTGTGACACGAGGAGATTTTTGTTACTGCGTGAGGGGTTACATTATTCTTCCTCCCATCTTGTTTGCTTTTAATCGAGTAAGTACGGTAGTTTCGCAGCTTATGACCACAGGAGGTGGCTTTTTGTAGCCTGCCATCAGTATAGGGCTTGGTTTGTTGCTTAGAAGATTAGTGCTCACTCTTGCTATGGTACTGGAAAATTTTGGAGGAATAGTGATATACTGGGAGAATTTTTTCAGCTACAGTAAGCTGGAGTTAATGTTTTTTTATTGTTAAGCGTTAATTTCATTTGTGTGACCACTTTCTCAAAGTAATATAGAGTTCTTTCTTTAGTTTCTTTAGTGTGGGTTTCTGGAACTTCATCTCAAATTAATTGTGTGATTAAAGTCGTTAAGCCTCTTCTGTACCCATCGGCAGGATGTCTGAATGGGCATGGTATAAATACAGAGGATCACAAGTGTGTGTGTGTGTGTGGAAAATTCCGTCGGAATAAGCGGCTGAGTGCTTTTCCTGCATGAAAGGAAGCTATTTCCCCCCCCCCTGTAAAAACCAAGCCCTTGGTCATAATATGCCTTAAGTTGTTTTTTCATGGTTCTCTGCATCTTATTGATTAGGGAATTGTTTAAGGTTTGATTTGGCGTTGCCTTTACCAGTTATGGCTCATTCTATAGAATACCTGAGCATCCTGTTGTGGTGTTTGACTTATTTGTGTTTAATTTGTATGAATGCGCTGACAACACAACATTATTTTATTATTTTGTCGGTTATTAGTGTGATAGACATAGTCGCGGTAAAATAATTTAATATTCTGGCAATATTTTGATCAAGAATAGTAGCTAATATCTGCGTCTTTGATTATCAAGAACTTGAAAGGTAACAAGCCGTGTGAATACACGACTGCAAATGTATAAAATTATATACAGATAAGATATTTTGTATTTATTATTTACACATTACAACTAATGTTATCATAAGACTGAACTAGCTGTTGGTAGTGTGTTGCTTTATTGTACAGTATACTCTAATAGCGAGTCCTACGTTGAAATTAGTAGCAAGGTATATTTCATAACTACTAAATATTTTTGCGCATTTGCGGTCATATATTCATACAGCTTATTGCATTTCATCTTCTTGAAAGAAACATGAAGATCACTAGCTTTTTGAATTGTTGCCAGAATGTAATAATTATTTTATCGCCGTTTATTGTGCGTGTAACTTAATTGATATAAGAATAAAATAATGTGTGGAGACTCCGAATTTGTACCAATTAAATATAATGAGCCAAGATTGATTCTACTATTCCTCTACATTCCAGATTGTTGTTCTTACTCTCGGCGCACATTTATGCTATTGTAATTTTGTGCACCCTAGTAAAGTGTTGCAAATCAGTTAAAAATTAATTTTACTGATACTTCAGTCCAAGTTTCTCTGCGTATATTTTCCAAGTGTTCCTTTTATTATTTTTTTATTTTTTTAATTCCACGTACATGTGAATTGGAATCGTCGGTTTTAATGGCTGCGCAGTCGTTTCAGAATCAGAATGGCTTTACCTTGAGAGAACTATTTGTTGTCTTCCGTTCCTTGAATTAAATACAGCAAGGCCATTCAGGAGGTGTCGTCAAAAAATTGGATCAGGTTGGAATGAATTGTATGTAGATAATAGCAGTTCAGTTTTACTGTTAATAATTGCATAATCCCGTGTAAATAGTAATACAGTACAGAAGCAAAGTACATTTTTTTTTAGTTTTTATAAACTTCACATGTTATATAAATTTCAGTATATTAAAGGTTAAAAGCAAACATTATACTGGATCTTCAAGCAATGATTATTAATATAAATTATATTGAATAATGTTTGTGAAACGTACTTGCCGAGTTTAAATGCTGTTTGAATATTATGTCTTAATGACTACCATTTTTTTTACATGAGAATACATTATTGCATTACAACTCAAAATGTAAAAAACAAAATTATACAAGGTAGGCTAAGTCAAAATGGTGTTGAAAGCATGACTGAAGAACGCCTTTCTCTTTTTCTTGTTGTCTTTGCAGATTGTCACAGGTTTTGGGGTTAGGATGTGTAGAAGAAGGAGACAATCACAAATCGAGATACTGGCGTGACCATGAGTTGTTAACAGTCACTGGTCCTCAACTAGCGCTTCATTTACTTCAATTTATTGCATTGTTTTGATCTCAACAGTTTATTTTTTTTGTTGTCTCATTAATTCTTTCCATGCTACAAAAAGGTGTCCATCAGTAACATGATTGCTTGTTTGTGCTAATAACAGACTGTAATTCCGTGTTCCACATCATCTCGGTAGAATAAAACACTAATAATTCTCGCGCAGAAAGTGTTGGCATCGAAAGGATTAATGCAATTCATGTTGTTTTAGGTACTTTCGTGTTAGGCTTACCATATCGATTCCCGTGTTTGCCTCTAAACACGCCTCTCTGAAGTTTATGAGTTGTTTTTCTTTCTTTCAGCATATCCTGATTGTCGCTTGTTCCATTTTCCAGGTGTTTGTTCGTGTTGAATTTTGTTATTGTGATTCAGTGTGCATGTTTGCCAGCCTCCAGCATTGCCACAATGATGCGTGAAATTGTATGTTTTATTTGTGCCGAAGCAACTTCAGATTTCAGCCGCAGAAAAGCTGACGTCAAGCACGCTGTGTCACGTTACAATTTTCTCTCGTCAGCAACCAGAAGTCGGAATTATTCATTCTCATTCTAAGTTTCATTTTTACTGATGGCCGGTGGCTAGTTTCAAAATTACGCGAACATGGAAGTTATAATCGTGAAGGTATGAAATAAGACTGCAAAATTTCGTTTGGTGCTTTGAAGGTTCATTCTTTCGTCATGATAATTTCAAGTGGGTTGCAAATTAATTTTAAACTCTGTTAATGATGGAAAAAATTACCACATTTGTCAGAAATGATACAACCATGTGCCAGTAAATTTAATCATCAAGCTTTTGTTTAAATCTGGTTTTTGGTTTGTGTAGTGCAAATATAAGTGTAAGAGTTTGCTAATCTGGGAGTTGATAACGGTGTCTGCCCTCAAAAGATTCTATGACTCTTAAGACCGTATTATTGTGAATGTAGCAAGCCTATTGGCTTACATTTCAGTTATATTTCACAGTTTTTCTTTGTGTAGTTTCTAGTGATATTTTGTTGAGTTTGTCGGTGAAGTATTAAATATTTTTGTCTGTTCCTAGAAGAAATTTCTGTTTCTGATCACTGCATAATCTTTGATAAATGAATGCTGGGGGGGTCATGAGTGTTTGTCCATTTTTAATTTCTACTATCATCCTACTTTGCCATAATCTGAATATTTTGGAAATCCTGACAACAGTTAGCTCGTGCATGGCTTAGTTCAGGGTCGAGTGAAAATTTAGAGAAAATCACAAATTTCTTTGAATAAATTTTCTCTGCGTGATGGACCCAATAATATTCTTTCATGGAATTTTATTATAATGAGGTATGTAGATTCTATTGAAAGTGGACTTTGTCTTTAAGATTTCAGGACTGTTTGTGGCATATTTTGTAATTCTGATTGCATTCATATTTGCACTATATGTAGAATCTATGCTCTAACCAGATACGATGTTTATATTGCGGTCGTTTGTGTTCGGCATTGTACAACTGTAATTAATTTAGAAGAATGTTTCATTGCAATTATTGACAACCCAGTGGGTCCTGTTAACAGGTTGAAGACATTTGTTTTGTGACATGGTGTTGCAGTTAAAACTTTGAAATAATTTTGTTTCGGTCTTACTAGTATAAGATACCTGGAAGTCTGCTTACTTAATCTAGTTGCTTCGGCATTATCGTACAGGGCTTTGTTATAATATTTGTGATGGCCTCAGGTATTCAGAAATAGAATACTGCTCTCTTTTCTTTCTTTTTTTTACTTGTTGGGGGAAGAATTTACTGGCGTTTATAGAAGAATTATAGTAAAACAAAGCATTGATTTTGTGTGTATTTTCTGTATGATCTTGAAGCTCATGTTTTATACATATCTTTATTGGTCCTTCAAGTGCTCTGTAAGTAAACTCTTTCCACAGCGATAATTAGGAAGAAATTAGTAACGTGGCTTAGCAGATGGAATTTTGTTAGATTTTAAATGTAGAATGACTGCAGATCTAGAAATTGAGTTCAAGAATTATGTTTCTTGTTTGCATAACTTCAGGAAAATACAAGAGAAGTATTTGTTTTCTTCTTTATCATTATTTTTACTGCTGTCAGTAGAGTCGCCGAATGTATTGAATTTCTAGGAACAAAAAGAATTTTGTCCCCTTTTCTCACATAATGCTGCTCTACTGCTACTGTTTCTTAGTGCAGAAGGTATTATTTTTGGAAAGAAATTTGCCACTCTCCAGACACCTATTAGTATCCTCCATTGCACACTGTCGACTTCTGTAAGCCATCAAAAAAGCTTTCTTGTATCATACGTGAAGGTCTGTAGAAGCAGTATTCAGTGTCAAATTCAAAATGGGATGGGGCTATTTTGTGTGATGCAAATAATTATGATAGACACACAGGATTCGCTAATTTTGGGCTTGAAAGTTATTTTCAAAACTAAACCAGTAGACTTTTTGTCATGTTAACCTGTAATGGTGGACATGTTTGACATACTGGTTTTATTTATGGCTTGGAGCTTGGCAGGTATGCTGCACGAAAAGTTTCAAGATGGGTGTGTTTTTCATTACTTTAAAATTCGCAGACATGATCTGCGTAGTGAACTGATGTTTCTGTGTTGCATGTATTTTGTTCCTTTGGATAGAAATATTTTCTTTTTAATATTGATTAAGTTAGTAATAAATAAAAAAAGTGCAGAAGATTTAATCTTCGATTCATCGAGGATATATCATTGAATTAAATGGCAAGGAACTGTCATTCAAGTTTTTGTCAAGTAATTGTTCAGGTTTATGGCATGAATAATTTTAGAAATCTAGTTTTAAGTGTCCATATTTACTGTTGGTTTTTCAGGTATCAATTCAGATGGCATAATTTTACGTTTTATAGTCTTACACACGATTTGAAGCTTCCGTGACCAAACTCAGTAAAATCCTTGTGAGCCCTCAGCTGCACCATGTAGTCAAAAGAAACCAACATTTTGGGACCCATGTTTGTCCCCACAATTAGGGATCTGATGTGAATGGATTCATTGAACATCCACTATGTATACCTGCCGAGAACCAATACTCACGGCTTCGAGCTAGTGGGTGGAGTAAGTGACTTACTTTGCTATCTTCAAGGCAACTTTGCCCAGTGGTTGATCCATTAAGGATGTTTGAAACTGCAGTATAGCCTGCGTTACCCAAAAGCAAATACACATTAGTATTGAACTGCCATGAAAGCCTGACTTCTGATACATATTGTCAGCCAAAATTATGTGAATTAAATTATGGTGTGTAACAGGATTAATAAATCTAAATTCATATTCTGTAAGAGTGGGTGTGTTTATATTTGTACATTTATTCTGATCAAGCTTATCTAAAGAGAGGTGTTTAATAGGTTTACTTTTATGTTTTTTTTAAGTTTTGTAGAAACAGTGCTTTGATTTAAGTTTGTAATCTTAAGGCACGCTGAAGAGGGATATTTTTAAGCAGTCATTGGTTTCCAAAATAAATTTCAGAAGCTGGACAGCGCATTTTACAGTTACTTTATATTTCATGCCTTTTGCTTTTAAGGTTTGTGGCCTAGTTGGAGCTTCCATATGAGGTAATTTGCTGCATCATGAGTGTGAGCTCAGAAAGGATGTTATCTTCAGCTTAAAATGTTTTTAACATCCCGTGATTTGCCAAAATATCCATTTGTTTTTCTTCATTTTTTTCCTCTTTTTTCTGTGTTGTTCCATGGGTAGCGTTGCGCCTAGCCTTGCCCCGGTGTTTTCAGCGAAGCGGGCGAACCAATCAGGGGCCAACATGACCCTGACCGCCTGCTACCCTTTGCGGTAAAGGTCAACTTTAGCCTCGTGTCACCATACACAAAATGCGTTGTGCACCAAATTACTTTTGTGTTGGCTTTGTATTGGGCTATATTTCCAGCCTTTGTTTCACATCTTCAGAAACTTTATGAATAACACTCATTTCAGTTACTGTGTTTATTGTAGATTCAGAACTGTATAAAATTTAGTATATCATAGGATTTACCACTAATATTGCACGTTGTCACATGTTACTATTGATATAGGCTGTGGTTTTTAGGTAGTGTGAATTCTGACCAAAATCAAAACTAGTTTGGTGCAAAAAATTTTGAACTTACACCTTGACCATAATCCATCATTCCTTGTACTTGTCAGTGTAATAGTTTATCACCTCATGTACTCTCCATAGGCTCCCTGTGCCTTCAGAGTTGGCCGTAGCATCGTTTCATAATCGCTGTGTCAGTCCAGTAAGGGATTTAAATCTAATTTTGAATTAGTTTTAATTGCTGATAAATTATTACTTGTTTTATTACTGTTAACTGGTAACGAGAATATTAAGATGCTGGTGTTTATTGTTTTGTTGTATTATGACAAATAGAGCCATTTAATTAGGAGGTCTGTTGTCACTTCAATGCTTGTTGGCCAACTCTGGTTATTGAGAGGGTACATAGGCCAGTATTATGCTGTTTTTTTATATAAACCAGCAAGCAATTCTTACGATGACTTATCTGTAGAGAATGTTTTAAATCAGAGGTTGGCAATCATTGAATTGTTGCATGCCTCACAATGGAGATTAGTGTTTTCTCCTTTATGTTGACTATTCGTTCCGTTTACAAATAGGTGGCTATTAGTGGCTGGCACTAAAACTTGACTTTTGAATCACCGCCTTGTGTTGAGTTATTTACAAATAAGTGGCTATTAGTGGCTGGCGCTAAAACTTACCTTTTGAATCACCGCCTTGTGTTGAGTTGGTTATACTTCATAAATCATTGTTTCCAATACTGCCTTTATCTGTAAGGTGGACACTGGGCATTAACTTCATTTTACAGCATGTCTAGCCTGTCAGCCTACCTTCATCTCATAAATTCATTTTATTAAAAGTCTCATAAACTTTGGTAAGATCCTGGCTGTTTATTGTTTATTAAAAACTCCCGCTTTATTTCATGAGCAGAAATTAAAAAGAATTGGTGTTCATTGTAGTGATATTTTGGAGAACTTCCTTCTTTACATATTCAGTTTACAGGATGAGATGGTAAGGTCTTTGAAATGTACGATCATACTTTTTAATGTATGTATGTCGTCCGTTTTTCATTGGCATGGATGCAGGCCGAGAAATTGGACGTGATAAAAGCAGAAGTGGTTGTCTTCCATTGTCAGTGCAATCACGCTGATGATGGAGGCATTAAAACCTCTGAAATGTTGGTAAATTTCTACCACAGTATTAAAACCCAGAAGACAGCCATATTTGAATTCACCACCTTGAAAACCTCAAATCCAGGGGATTTCAAACAGAAAGGTGGGGTGGTCCTCATTGCGAAATGATTTTGACAAGCCAATGACTGACTGAGTACAAGAGTTAGGTTAGGTTGTGTCATGGTGAAGGGGCCACAAACATTGGAAAGCAGCCACAGTATAACCAACTCCATCGAGGAGATATTTCCTTGAGCTCTTAAAGAGTTAGTTGGTGAAGAAGTTTCTTGATTTTATGGATCTTCAAAATTCATTGCCTTCATAAGAAAATCTATTTGATCTTTTGCCAAACCATCTGAGGCCAGTTCACATCTTTGCAGTCTGTTTATATGTGATTCGTTAAAAAATATCTGCCACATATGTCCAGGTCGCCTAAAACGTTTAATCCTCGAGATTTTCCTACCAAAATTTTTGTATCTATATTGTACATGATTTGGTTGTGTGATGTATTGAAAACTGTTTTGTGAATTAACACATACTTTTAAGCTGTTTCTAAAGCAGAAGATGATTGACTGCAGTAGAAATAGAAAAAAGAAGGTCTTTGGAGATTAGAAATATTTTGTCATTGATCAATTGTTTTTTTTTATACAGTACATCGCATGTTTCAGACACTCAGCCTTAGTGGGAAAAGTTTCCTCATAATAAATAGGAGTTATATCTAATCTCCATGGTTTTTGCACTTTGCAGAAGTACATGTAATGTTCATATTTGTCTATATATAATATATATATGATAAAATATAATATTTATCTTACAAGAAAATTGCTTGGTGGCTAGTTAGTTTGTGTGTTGCATGTTGTTACATGTTACTTTCCTTGACTCTTGTTTCTACCTTTGTTGTAGGCGATGTTCAGCTATCGCCATCTTCTGCACAACCATCGCCAGATTCAGACTTCTTACCTGGTCCAATATACAATTTAGCGCAGTCAGGACCTCTTGTAGCAGGTAAAACTATAAATAAAGATGCCCATTTTAGGCATATCTGTTGATTGTTGCACTGACGTTAAGTTTTAATTCATATATACTCCGAGGTGAACAAATTTTGACTCCACTTTCCCATTTAATCCTCTTAACGCCAATTGTAGGCTGTTGTATAAGGTAATAATTTGTGTCCAAGATAAGTTGAACTGTAGAAAGTCTTGTAGTTTACATTGTAGTGTCATCTGTTTAGTATGGATAGAAAATCCATTCTGTCTCGTTACGTGTACCATGTGGATGTGTCTGCTGTAAATATTATTTTTATTACGCTGTTCTTTATACGATTACGATTTTCTGTTTATTACTGATTGATTTTGGAGCAGGAATTTTAATATTAACAATCGCCGTTCAGGTCCTGGAGCCCGGAATACGACGATTCCCGGCCTGCTTGGGGCGGGGCTTCCGAAGCTGAATCAGGAGCAGCAGGAAGCGGTGACCCGTGCCAAGAAATATGCCATGGAACAAAGCATCAAGATGGTGCTCATGAAACAGACGCTAGCACATCAGCAGCTGGTGAGTAATCTCTTTTACACTAATAATTTCCTTTTGACCATGAAAAACCCTTTTTTTTATATAAGTATTAGCTTGTTCCTTTATAAGACATCGTACAACAGAAACCTCGATTTTCACTCTTCTCTCTTTTCGTCGTAGATTTTATATTGTTTTTAGCCGTTTGATGTTTAGCTCATGTAAGCCATATTTAAATTCAGTTTCTGCTACAAAAGACCCAATGTATCTCCATTACAGATATAATTGCTGTTTATTGTGAGAATCATATAAAACCCTTAAATATGTTTTATGGGCAAAATGTAAAATTTATGTTTTTATAATCAAGTTTACTATGTCATGTATTTGGTTATGGGTTTGATGAATTATAAAAATCTGTTACCGCAGTTTTGTCATCTCTTACTCGCTCACTCTTTTTTTTACGACCTTCCAATCACCAGTTTGATTAGCGGTATTTAATGCTGTGATAATGTAAAGAGTGAAACTGATTTTGTTTCACGAATCCCTTAGCCACACTTTAATTTCCCAGGCGTAATCTTAAAGAAGATTTCTCAGCAGCTGCCAGAAACAGTGAATTCATCTTGTATGAACTTTCATGTGGAAACCACATATTTGCATTTTGAGTTAACTTAACTTAAATCCATTTTTTTTTTTCTACCATGACCAGCTGGTTTAATACTTTCGTTGCTCGGATGTGTGTCACAAAACTATGAACCACATATTTTTGTTTTAGTATAGTATCATAATTTATCTAGATATAGAGATTGTAGAATCATTGGTTTTTATTTTATTTTTAGATCTTTATTAATAAAATATTTTTACTGAAGTTTGTAATGATTATTTGATTGAGGGCAAACGTATTTTTGCAGGTTATGGTCGTATGTGCTTAAGGTTTTTTTTCCCCCCCGAATTATAACACGTGGGAAAGGCTTGAAAGTTAACGTCATTCTGACATTTTACTTTCTGAATGTTATAACTCGTTGGTTCCCAAACTTTATCACTCTCTTACATGCCTGTGTTAAAAAATATGATTTTGTAAACTATTTACTCCTTCAAAAGAGCTGACATTTGGAGTTGCGCGATTCATGTCCGTGCTATGAAGAATGGACATGGTAATATTCATCGTCACCGTGCTGTCTATTTAGATTTTTACCAGTGTAATTATTTTATGTGAGTTTGCTTTGGTGATACACAAAGAACTCCATGATACACTTTTTCTGGAATATTAATTGAAATATATAATAGTTTGGGAGCCAAGCTTAACTAATGTAACGAAGTTATGCTTGTACTACTGCAGTTTGACAGCGTACAACTTACGATTTTAACACATTCATAGCAGGAAGGCGGTTTCCGCTGGGAATCAGGATCGTCGTTGGAACACGTTGCAACATTGACCTTGGGTACTATTGTTGCATTTAGTGCTTCCAAATAAGAATG